ATTCGGTGGCACCCCTCACGCAGATCGGCGGGGTCAGGGTGTAAAAACACAAAGGAATTGCCACATGTCTGAAATTTGCTGACACCCCTCACGCAGATCGGCAGGGTCAGGGTGCAAAAACATACAGGATTTGCCACATTTCTGAAATTCGGTGGCACCCCTCACGCAGATCGGCGGGGTCAGGGTGTAAAAACAAAAAGGATTTGCCACATTCCTGAAATTCGATGGCACCCCTCACGCAGATCGGCAGGGTCAGGGTGCAAAAACATATGGGATCTGCCACATGTTTGAAATCTGGCGGCACCCCTCACGCAGATCTGTAGGGTCAGGGTCCAAAAACACAAAGGATTCGCTACATTTCTGAACTTCGGTGGCACCCGTGACACAGATCCGTAGGGTCAGGGTCGAAAATCAAGCAGGTCCCGACGCTGCTCGACGGCGGCGCCCAGACCTCATGATTTAGCTCTTCCATGGCCCATTCTCCGAGAGAGGGAGGCGGCGGCAAGGGGGCGAAGCCCTTACGGATCAAATCTAGACCTCCAACGCCGCGGACCTCCGAGGCCTGGCGGTGATCCCCTCTGGCGGACCCGGACCCCCAACGTGACGAAGGCCGTTCGTCATGTTCGGCGTCCAGGGGTCGACGTTGGGCTCAGGGACCCTCAAACATCGACTCGTGCGAAAAAAACGTCCCCGGGAACTTTGACGAGAGGTCCTGAGCCACGTATCCCACCAACCCTCTGGGCGTTGGCGGCTTCCGGGGCGTATGCGGCTAGGGCGTTTCCTCTTCCAAAACCCCCCTTTTCCCTTCCCCCCACCCCCTGGGTCTGAACGGGGGGTCCCGAGAGGCGTTAGAACGTCCAAGATAGCCCCAGCGAGAAAGCAACAACAAATTATGTTCATAAGGTTTTGGACCAAGTGGGGGGGGGACCCCAATTGTGCATCCCCCTTCTTTGATCGATAGCCTCCCAGATGGCCCCAATGCGACCCGAAAAACAATAAAAAATAGCTCTGAGAGGCACCCAAGAAGCGCCAAACGGTCCCCAGAGAAGCATCCAAAATGCTCCAAGAGGACCCCCAAGAGCCAGCAAGGGGCTCCCAAAACGCCCCAGGATGCCTCTAAGAGGCCCTCGAGAGACACCCCAAACTATCCAAGAGGCATCCAAAGGGGCCCCTACCCCACACAGCCACCCATATTTGTTTCAAAATGATGCCACGCTCCTCCGCTGGGCATCGGGTCTGGATGGGCTGGTGGGAGTACGCGAATCGTTAACAATTGAAACAAAGATCTCCGGCAAATGGGTTTTACCAAACTCCGACGTCTCCCTTGAACGTCGGCCTTCTAGGGACGTTTTTGGGCCCTCGGACCATCAATGATGAATCTCGGGGATGGACAGAACCCCCTTCAGTAAAACGTGGTTTAGTAAAACCACCCCGGGCCCAAACCTGGCGGGCGCAAGCCTGGAAAATTACGGCCGCGGCGCCATCTCGAGAACCGAAAACGGACAATTCACTAACCGACGTGTCAGGGTGGGTTTTCTGTCCACCTCCGAATAACAGCCTCTGGGGTGGTCGGGGGATCTTGGGCCGTCGATTCAGACAGATCACATCGTCGGATGCCTGGGTCCACGAGCGTCACCCACTCCTGACCTCTCCCGTGCGAAGAGAATAGAAAGGAGATCTACGCCATGGTAGAAGGGATGGGAGGGAGGGGTAGAACGTCAGATCAGATCCTCGCGCACCTGGCTTGCCTCTCCCCCCTTCTCCTGTCTGGCCCCGTCCCCTTCCTGCCGCATCTTTCCAGCGCCCTTCATCTGGAGACCGAGGTACGTAGAGTTTGAGACAGACAGAGAGAAGGAAGAGAGAGGAAAGAGAGAGAGAGAGACATGAGAAAGAGGGGAGAGAGAAATGAGCGAAAGAGAGAGAAACAGAGACAGAGAGAGAGGGAGGAAGGAAGGGATGGAGACAGACAAACACACGGACGAACGTCTGGGAACGTCTTCATAGCATGGATCCCACCAACCCTCGGGGCGGAGGTGGCCTTGCGCGTTTCCTCTTCCAACCTCCTTCCCCTTCGGGGAGGGCTCCATCTCTGCACCTTCATAATCAGCACCCCCTCCCCCACCCGACCGGCGACAAAACAGGGGCAATACCAACACCCTCAACCATCCCTAGCAAAAGATCAATACAAGCATAAACGCTGCGGGAAGATCTGGGTCACGTTCGGGCGCAACCCGCGATCACTTTAACCATTTTTCTGGCAGAGATAGCGGGGGTCCGTCATATCGCCCCGAGCGTGCAGGCTCACCATCACTGTCTAAACCAAATGCAGGACGCATGCTGCGGCAAAATGTTCGACCATGCGCGGGCGCCATGCGATGAGGTTGCCCGGTTCTCTGTCAGGGATGCCGGGGGTGCCCTGGCACGCGCGGCGCACCTCGTGAGCGTCGCGCACCTGGCTGGCGTCTGCATTGGTTCCCATTGGTTGCCGATGGAGGCCTCTGCTGCTACGTGTGTGTGTTGGGAGGGCGGATGGGAGTGAGCGAGATGACTTCCTTCGGGGAGGATGGCTTGAACCTTCCCCCGACCCACTCCCCCCGGGTCTCAACGGGGCGTCCATCCAGGGGCCAGAGCGCCCAGTATGGCCCAAGATCGCTCCAAGATGGCCTCAGAGAGCTCAAGAGGACCTCCAGGATAGCATAGCAGAATCCAGGATGGCTCAAGATAGCCTCAACGATGCCTCCAAAAGACCCCAAGACCCACGATCGTTCCAAGACGGCTGCAAGTGGCCACTGAGCCTCCCAAGGATCCCGAGACGCCAAAGGCCCCACGACGGCCCAAAGAACGCCAAAGAGCACCCCAAGAGGGCCCCCAAAAGATGATTACGGAAGATGAAGAAGGGCGGGGCTGACCTAGTAGCGCCCCCCATGCTATCGGTAGCCTCCAAGATGGCCCCAAAGAGGGACCCCAAGGCTCTCCAGAGGACGCCAAGAAGCCCCCAGCTCCACGGTAGCAGGGCTCCAGTGTGGCCCCAACATTCCCTTAAGATGGCCCCAGGATTGCCCGAGAAAGCTGCCACGAGACCCTCCGATCGAACGATCAGCGACGGCATGTGTGGTTGACTTCTGGGCCAGCTCGGGCCAATTCCGATCTTCGGCTTGACGGCTGCCCCAACCCCCCTGTTGCTTTTCACTGCGTGCTCCCCCGCTTCCCCCGATCAGTGCAACTCGCCAGGGCACTGCTGCTGGATGGGCCGGTAGGGATATGCGAAGCGACAGTGGTTGTAGTCAGCGACAGAAGCGGGAACATAGACAGACTGAGACGGAGGTACTCAGACAGGGAGGGAGGGAGAGGGAGAGGGAGAGAGAGAGGGACAGACAGACAGACACACACACACACACACACACACACACGCACATACCCCCCCACTCACACACACACACACACTTTTCCTCTGACGCACCGATGACTCCAATAAGCGGTTGAAAACAAAAGATGGCACACGCAAATCAAAATATTTATCTGATATGGAAACATGCTTAAAACGGAAGATCCCAACACAAGTCGGCGTCAGGCGGCAATTATCCTGGCGACCCAACCAGATGTAGTTGTGAACAACGCGTTGTGGGTGCCGCTTCCGGTGGATCACGCAACGCGTGATGGGGCGAGCCGTACTGGGGCTTCTCGGTTGCCGTTTTGGGACCGTTGTGGGGCCTCCTCGGGGCTGTTTTGTGGCCTCTTTAGGCCTCGTTTGGGCCGGGTGCCTCTTGGGGTCCTCCTGGGGCCTCTTGGGGGCTCCTTGGGGCCTCCTGGGGCACTCTTCAAGCGGGAGGATCGAATTTTGGAGTCGTGGTCCTCCTCTTGGGCGCATCTTGGGGCCGTCTTGGGGCTCCGTTGGGCTGTCTTGGGCGACTCTGGGGCCATCTTGGGGCCCTCTTGGGCCGTCTTGGGGCGCTCTTGGGGGCCTATTGAGCCGTCTTGGAACGTCGGACAGCCGAAAAGGCTGGAAGGCCCAAATCGTTCGAAAACCTTCGTACAATTGACGATATCGGCCTCTTGAAGCGCTCTGGAGAGGCGTCTTGAAGCGTCGTGGAGTGCCTTGGGGGGCCTCTCGGGCCGTCTTGGGCCTATCTTGGGCGTCCTGGAGCGGTCTTTCGGCGACTCGGGGACCGCTTGGGCCGTCTTGGGAGCCTCTGGAGGCCCTCCTGGACTATTTTGGACCTCCCCGGCCTCCCCGTCCTCCCATGGGGGGTCGGAGGCGGCGGCCTCCGAGGCCCAGGACGCGGAAACCTTGTAAAAACAGAAAGAAAATTAGCCCCGGTGCCCCCATGCAGGGTCGGGGCAGCTGTTTGGGGGCCCCGGGCTTCCCCAAGAGGCCCATCAGGAGTCCACCTAGAGACCATCGGGAGCGGCCAAGAGGGGGGTGTCCAAGAGGGGGGGGTGCAAATCATGACCGGCGGCATGTGCGCGGCCCAGCGGGGGGGCCAGGGACGTAATGAAATAAGAAGAGGCGCCATAAAATCTGGGGAAATATCATGGCCCCCGCCATGATATCCACCCCCCCCTAGTCATTACCCCCCTCTTTTCCGCCCCCGAGACCTCCAAGAGGCCTCCCAAACGGACCCAACAGGCTCCCGAGAGGCTCCGGAGAGGCTGCAATAAATACATGCGCATCGAGCTCCACCTTTCCTTCCCACTGCGCTCCGGCGCCGGCGCGGCGGCGGGGCCTGCCGCAAGCAGCTGAATAGCAGGATCCCCACCCCCGAAAATTGGAGGCTTAGAAATGGGCACCAACACCAAAGCCGAGGGTTGCCTCTACCAGGGGAGGGTGATCCTAGATTCTGGTGTTGGTGGTCATATTTCGGCCACCTTGGAAGCCCGAATATTACCACCATCACCGAGATCGGGATCATCTTTCCTCGGTGGAGGCACATCGCCGAGATTGGTGTTGGTGTCAACCTCTGGGCCTCCGAGAAAAACTCTCGCGCGTGGCCGCGGCGCGCCATTTCCTCGTTCGGGCCGATGCCGACGGCCGCGGTCAACGCCTCAGATGGGCCCTGGCCACGGAGAGGAAGGGTTCGACCTCTACAGGGCAAGATGCACGCCGCAGCTACCCCCGAGGAACCCTCCCTGATCCTTCGTGCCTCCTGCCTCCGCCACCACCTCGTCCTCACCCTCCTACTGTTCCGTCCCGCCACCCCTCCCATGTGGAAAGAAGGTGGCGAACCTGGAAAATATAAGTGCAAAAAAAACCGAAATGACCGCGGGAGGCACCAACATTGCCAGAGCACGCAACGAAGAATATATCAAGTTCATACCTAACCCGTCAACGACGTTCGTGGAAATGAGATGCGGTTAGAATGCCTGTAAGGAGCGTTCCGCTTTGGCGGACACGAAGACCACGACACTCGCCAGCTTCGCAGCACCCAGGGGGGGAAAGGGAAACAACTGGATCTGCGTGAAGTTCTCCGCTGGACCACCCAAGGGTGTACTGAAGTAGCGACAGGTGTAGTTGTAGGTGGCAACAGCCTCGTGGCCGAAGAATATCTCGGGCCGAAGCGGGAAGGTTACTCAGCCGAGCCTCCGCGGCAACGTCCGAGAAGCCCGGCTCGTGGCCGGATCTGCGCAGCAGAACACCCCGATGGAGCCCAGGAACGCACGAAACTAGCACCAATTGCTCGTTCGGGCAAGTGGGCGAGGGTAAGACTCTGCTCTGCCTCAGGTGGCACTCCGCTGGACCTTCAGAAGCGAAAGGAAGGAAAATGGCAACAGATGTGCGTCTGGCAGTACGCAATGAACGGGTGGGGATAGCTGGGCCTGCATCGGGGGGGGCACTCCACTGAATCCCCCGGACGCGTCGGAAAGCAGCGAAAAGTGTACGCTCGGCAACAGCCCGCGGGCGCCCAAGTGGTCCCAAACAGTCAGACGCCTGTCAGCAAGCGATGGGGTGCACCCGGAGCGAGTTGAGGCACGAAGGCGACAAGGAAACGAGAGCGAGGAGGGAAGGGTCAGGAGAAACAGGGCGGCCCCGAAGAGCCACAAGACCTCCCCAACGAGGCCCACAGACAGTTCCAACCCGCCGCCAAGCCACGAATCTGCCACCAGGCAGGGCCGGCGCCAGAGGACTCAAATTCGCCGCCTTCTCCGGCTCACCCACAAGCGAGTTGGGCGCACCAAGTCCCGCGCCACCCCTTCCGGCTAGTCCATCAAGAAGTCTCCGCGAGCTCTTCGTCCTCTGCCGCCATGCCCTCGACCCCGCCGCGCACTTGCGCGTCCCCTCCACACCCCGTCCGGAAATCCACCACGGGCAGCGGCGGTGACTCACCAGAGGCGGCTTCGATCCTGTAGAGAGAACTTCCGCGCTTACTGCGCATCGTTGAACCGATCCCTTTCCCCTATCCCTACTGGCGTGGCCTGGACCCCACTGGCCGACCTAACCCCCTCGACGGGGGTATAGGCTGTTCCCTTCGAGTTTCGAGGGGACAATCCCCAACTGAGGTGGTGGGGTGGTGGGGCTGGAATACCATGGCCCGGTGGGGATGCGGATCGACTAAACGATATTGACTTAGAGGTCTCCAAAAATTTATGGTGGGACACTAAAAAATTCGCTGGCCTCGCCCACGCGACAGCGCATCTAATGCCCGCTCAGCACTGCCACGGCACCCAGCGCTGGCCACCACGCCACCCCCATGGACGAGCTCCTGCGCGGCGCGGCGCCGGCGACGGCATCCTGGTCCCCGCACGCGATAAAATAGCGGGTCGCGACCTCGGTGGCGAGCGTGGGGCTTGTCGCGCACTCGCTCCCAAACGAGCACCAGCCCCACCAATTCGAAAGGCCGACCTCCACCTGTGTCGCCCACTGAGCCTCCGCCTCCTGAGTGCAGGCGCCCCCGGCGGTCACGTTCGCGCAGCCCGTCTGCGGGCACACGATCGGCAGAACTGCGAGCACCGCCGAGATCTCGGCACCCGACTCGCACTTGGCGGTGCACTCCTCGCCAGGGCCGAGGGAGGTTGAGTTGTCGCTGGCGCACAGCACACCCTCGGGCAGCATGCACTTGATCGTGGAGGTCGACCAGCCCCACGCCGCCCGCGAGCCCTGGGGAGAGGCCGAGAGCATTAGCCAGGGCGCATTGGCCGCCAGAGCGCCCAAAGCCGCGAGCGCCGCCCGAGACGGCGAGGCCATCGAAGAGCGCCCGGCACGAGCCTCGCCGCAGCGTGGATCAAGACGATACCAGTCTCGGACGCCTCGAGCAGAAGTGACAGCGGATGACGATGATTAGATGCTTGTTCTGGGGACCTTCCTGGAGCCACTCGCTCCACTCGGGCGGCGATGCTGCGTCGAACGTCCATCGAACTCGAGTCGAAGGTGAGTCGAACCATAGAAAGACCAGGATCCGTTACATGGCCCCCAAGAAATCCTCAAAACATACATCATGTTATGGTTGTGGTGATGATAAGCATGATGACGGTGATGGTGATGGTGATGGTGATGGTGATGGTGATGGTGATGGCGATGGCGATGGTGATTGTGATTGTGACGGTGATGATGATGGTGTTCATAATGGTGATGGTGATGGTGATAACGATGATGCTTGTGATGGTGATGATGGTGATGGTGATGATGATAATGAGGATGACAATCCTTATGACGTGGGTGGTGATGATGGTAATGATGACGATGATGATGATGCCGATGATGATGATGATACTGATGGTGATTATGATGATGGTGATGGTGATGATGGTGGCGTTGATGATAATGATAATGATGATGGTGTTTATGATGGTGATGATGATAATGATGATGGTGTTAATAATGATGTGATACCACTGATAAAGCTGATGACGATACCAACTGTGATGATCATGATGATCAGATTGATGGTGATGATGCCACTAACTGTGATGATAACTCTGATGATGATGAAGATGATGATGATTGTGATGCTGATGATGATGAGTATTATGATGATGGCAATGATAATGATGACGACGACGACAATGATGATGATGATGATAGCGACGATGATGGTGGTGATGACAATGAGAAAAGATGATGATATGCTGTTGCTGGTGACGATGATGGTGGTGATGATGATAATGATTACGACGATGAAGGTGATGACGATGATGAAGATGATGGTGGTGCTGATAATGACGACCACGATGATGTTGATGATGATGATGATGATGATGATGATGATGATGATGATGATGGTGATGGTGATGGTGATGGTGATGGTGATGAAAATCACGAGGCAACTCATAGAATCGCAGCAATAAACCATCGGAATGAACACAGAAGACGTAGACAACAACACGAGCAATGGGAGGGGAGGGATCCGCTACCATGTCCCCTAGCACGTCGAGGCGCAATTGAAAGACTATGTCTGTCTGGCAGGGCTCCTGCTAATTTTCTACAATCCCGCTCCCTCCACTCGCAGTTCTTCGTGCATCGCCCCGCCCCTCCGGATCCTCCCTGGGGCGGCCCATCGTTCCCCTAGGGCTCCCAAAAGCTTTCCAGGACTTCCAAGATGGCCCAGGAAGACCGCCAAGGCCGCCAAGATGCCCCAAAATTGTCTTCAGAGGCACCCAACAGCTTTCAAGACTCCAGAAAGAAAGCCGGAATCCCCTCCTGGAAAACCAGAATCATCCAAAACCTGGGCCACTTCTTGGGGTTTCCCAAGCTTTTCGGCTCAAGGCAGTTCCAGCAGGGCCTTGGCTCAAGACAGTTCCAACAGGGCCGCGGAAGAGCCGAAGACAAGCCAAACAAGCGCAATGAAGGCCCAAAAGGAGCGCCCCAGACGCACCAATAGGGCCCCAAGACGGCTGAAAAGAGGCATAGGACAGCCCAAGAAGGCCGTAGACAGGGAAAGAAAACCCGAAGAGGCCCCCAGACAGCCCCAAGAGAGTCCCCAGATGGCCGAGAAAAGCCCAAGACGGCCAAAGACAGCTCTAAGACGGCCAAGAAGGACTACAAGACGGCCAAAGAGAGCCCGACGACGCCTCAAGAGCCCAAGACAGCAGACAGCCCCAAGACGGCCCGGGGAGGCCCCATCAGAGCCCCTCCAGGAATCCGCAGACCCCCGATTGCTGAACGTGAAGAGGCGTGTGAGACCTTTGGCTGTCCCCATCCCCTTTTCCCCGGCCCCTTGAGTCCCAAATCCCATTGGGGGGATGCAGGAGCTCCCCGGCGCACCTCCCTGGCCCTCGAGGCCTCCAAATCCCCCCACCGCGGCCTCCAAAATGCCCAAAATGACTTCGAAGGTGGCTCAAGAAGATCTCCCACGCGCCGGAGAGGCCCCTGGAACATCCAAGATGGCCTCGAGACGGCCCAATGGCCCTGGGGGACGCCCCAAGAAGGCCTAAGAGGATCCACAAGACGGTCTCAGGAGGCTTAAAAAAAATCGTCCGACGGGCTTGAATTATTTTCCCATTCTCACCAGTTCACAAGGTTCTGAACCCCGAGACGGCCGAGAGGCCCCCCAGATTGGCCCCAGACGGCCGAAGAGGCCCCCAAGAGACCCTGACATATCCCAAGGGAATGCCAAGACTGCCCAAGAAGCCCCCAAGAGGGCCCCAACAACCTCAAAAGATCCTAAGAGGGGCGCGAGAAACCCAAGAGGAAACTCGTACAGGCCCAGGGAGCCATCACCGACAAGATGGCCCCCATGACGCCCAGCATGCTCCCGAGATTCCCCCAAGATGCCCCTGAGAAGCCCCCAAAAAGCCCTGAGAGGGCCTCGAAAAGCACCCCAGAAGCCTTGAAAAGGCCCCCGAAAGGCCGCGCCTCCACGAGGCCCCCAAGAAGCCCCCACGACAGACGGCGAGGAAGAGACGGGCAGGCCAGAAACAACGACGCGCAGGCAGCAAGATGAGATACAGACGCATGTTCAGACCGTCTGGCCCTGGCTCGAAGCATCGCCACACAGGGTGCTGCCCTGGCACTGTTGCGGAACTCGCCGCGGGCAGCCGGATACGTAGGCCGAGGGGGAAGCGCAAGGAGAAGCAACTGCGAGAGCAGGCGCAATAAAAGCACGAGCAAGAGAAAGAGCTA